TAAAAGAAATTCAATCTCAATTCTTAGATGTTAACCCTCAAGCTAAATTTAAGCTTTACCAGCTAACCTAGCTAAGTGGTAGTTAGTTCAAACGCATTGTTAAAAGAACCATTTATCGTCAAATGTCACTAGAAAAGTCTAGATTAACATAAGATTATTCCAAAAAAAAAAAAAAAATGGATTAGAGGTAGAAAGAATAATTGGAAGAGAATATATAACAAGCTTACGTCAAATACTTAGAAGTTAAGGTAGCTTGGAACAACACGGGAGAAACGATAGATGAGTCTTGTAGAATACAAAAGTTGAAGCAAACAAAGAACACCAAAAGTTAAAAAAATAAACCATTATAGTGTACATGTTTAAGATTCTGATTTTAATCATTCATAGAAAAAGCCATGGTATGATGGGTCTCCCTTTCACTCTCCACTTTCGACGGAAAAAAGAAAAGAAAAGGTGGGTAAGGATTTAATGGTTGGAAATCATTTTTATTGCCATATGATAAAATAATAAACTATTTAATAATACTAATAATAATTTATAATATAGTAAATTGATGTATTATTTTGATACCATTTTAAAGAAGTTTCATTATACAATATTTCATATTATAAAATATTATAGAAGTTATCATGTGTATGGATTGTCCTTTTCCAATGTGGGGATCCATTCATATAGTGTATAATTTTTTTGTTATGCTTTGAAAAAATACCATCTAATTCTAACTTTTTTTTTTTTTCTTCCCCTTTAACGAGAACCCTCCACCTTGTTGATTCATGTAAGATCTACTCCTTGTAATTTTTGATGGACAAAGTTTTTTTTTCCTAATCTTTATGGTGATGATGATGATTCCTTTTTATTCACACGTGGCTTTTGTCTCATCACTTCTATATGATTGAAATTGGAATAAAATTATCTGTCTCATTTTTTTTAATGTAAGATTTTATATGCTACTAAATTTAAATTTATTTATTAGTTGAAATTTTGTAATTTTTAAATAATTGGGTGACGAGACCTTGAGTAATAGTAGATATGAATCAATAAAAGGATTGCCACAAATGTGGAACATGTACATAACCGTAATAGTGAGAAGTAAAATTTGGATTCAATAAACTTATTTGATAAAGAAATCTTTCCTTGATTGATATAGATAGTGCCTTTGAGTTAGATGATAAAATCACCAAGTTTTATACCTGTTTATAAACTTTCGAATCTCGATTTCTTGATCTTATCTGTTAACCAATGCAATATTGTTAGGAAATAGATCGCATTTGAGTTGGGATTACTTGTACCACAATGAAGAATTAGAGGACGAGCGACTTACATATAAAATTAGTGGATTACTTTACCTATTACAAATTTGTCTTAGGATGAAATCTACTTTTATATATAGTCAAACTCTCATTTGAAATAAGGGTTATTTGACCTATTGTGGAAGTCCAAAAATTACTTAAAGAGCGGGGTGTTTTGAGATTCATCATAACAATAAAAGTTTTTAGCATGATATCCATAATACATATCAAATTCATCATTAATATACTATTGAAATACTTTTAAAAACAAAGGAAACAACTTTTTTCAGATTCAAAACCGTATTTTAAAGTTTTCAATAAAACTAAAAATTCACAAGTCACAACGATAAGGAATAAAAAATATGTGCACCAAAAGAAATGATGGATAAAAAATTCCTTAGAGAAGTCCAAAAAAAGGCCCTCAATCTCATTCCATATATGCATCACATAAGTTGACTAGAAAATTCTTTGGGCAGGACCAAAAGTTTCCCGATTTATGGTCCCAACCATTACCAATTTTATGGTCCAATCTTTGTGAATGCGCTACAAGTAAAAGTGTATAGCCAAACCAAGTGACTCTACCAAAAGAAGTGGCCACTCGCCAATGATCAGCTGCATGCTACTTTAGTGGTAGTAAGAAAATTAAAAAAAAAAATCAATATGGAAGGAGATGTTCTTCAACTTAATAATTGATTTAAGGTATTCGAAATAAAATGAACTATAAGTTATACTACTATATGCGACATTTATGATGCACAACACAATGATGATCATGAGGTATAATTGATGAAGACATATTACTTTGTAACATACTTGAATAAGATATAATCAGGATCGTTTCTGATATATTATGAGGCCAAGGTGTAATATACAAGTAGGGCTGTACACTGGTCCAAAACCGGACCGGACCTGGACCGGACCTGTTGGGACCGGGACCTGAATCAGGGAATTTTGAGGACCGGAGACCGGACCTGATTCAACAGGTCCGGTTCCGGGTTAGACCTGAAAAATCAAGTCCGGTCCGAGTTCGGACCTGAATAGACCTGTTTTTTTATTTATTTTTTGATTTTTTATTTAAAAAATAAAATAAATAATAACATAAAATCTGATATTATCAATCATGAATACTACATAAATTGTATAAATTGACTAAAGTCCCAATTCCCAAACACCAAAAATACTAGACAACAGTAACCACCAGATCTACCACCTTCAAAGTAGATGGTCGCAAAGGAAGGTCGGGGTAGATCGTGAAGCGAGTAAGAGGGCGATTGGTGTATGATTGGGTGGCTGCAGTCGCTGGAGTCGCGCGATCTGGTGGATGCGGTCGCCGGAGTCGCGCGTTCTGGTGGCTGCGTTCGCTGGAATCGCGCGATCTGGTGGTTGCGGCCTCTAGTGTCGCGCGTTCTGGTGGCTGCAGTCGCTGGAGTCGCGCGATCTGGTGGCTGCGGTCGCTAGAGTCGTGTGTTTTGGTGGCTGTGGTTGCTGGAGTCGCGCAATGTGGTGGTTGCGGTTGCTAGAGTCGCACGTTCTAGTGGTTGGGGTTGCTAGAGTCGCGCGATCCAGTGGTCGCTAGAGGAGTGTGCAGCGTGAGGGAGTGGGTTTGTAAGTGTGTTGTGTGACTTGTGTTGGCAGAGTGGGTTAGGGAGTGAGTGATTAAGTTAGGGTTAGAAATGAACTGACTTCTTGTTTTGATATTTGGGAAAAAAAAGTTTTTTTTAAAAAAAATACATTTTTACCGAGTTTCAGGTCCAGACCTGAAAACCCCGGGTTTGGACCTGATCCGGACTGGGACCGGAAACCTTGAATTTTAAGGACCGGGACCGGACCTGAATCTACAGGTCCGGGTCAGGTCCGGTCCCAACAGGTCCGGATCAGGTCGGTTTTCAGGTCCGGTCCTATTTATGTACACCTCTATATACAAGTCATGATAACTCCTTATACATGCAACTTTAGATTATTTTATTTTAAATAGGATATTTGATTATATACCTTACAAAATATAAAAAAGATGTATAGAAAATTTCCATTCAATCCACACATATGCTCTATGCTAGACTATACTTAGGCCCTGTTTGGTAATTAGATGGTAGTTGATTGACATAACTGATTGTATTAGCTGATTTGACTAGCTTGTTATCTTGGCTGGTTTGACTAGCTGATTATAATTAGCTAATTGTGTAAAAGTGTTTAGTATATAGTTGTTAATTGTTAGCTGTTTTAGTATTTTTAAGAGCCAAAAAGCTAATTGTTTAATAAGCTAATTTTAAAGAGCTCTTATAATGAGCTTTTTCTAAAAGAGCTTTTTGAGCCTAAAAATCTCTTTTAATAAGCTATTTACCAGACACTCAAATTAGCTTTTTTAATTGATCAAATCTCTAATTGGGCAAAATAAGCTAAAAGCTCTTTACCAAACAAGGCCTTAAACTACTCAAACAAAGACTATCTACACCATAAAGAGACAAACATACAATCATAACAAATGGTTTATGTAACTAAAATAATCTGAACTATACAAAGAGAAAGGGAGTCTAATTTCCTAAAAAATTTGACTATTTTCTGCCTAAGCAGATCAAATATGAAAAGCAGAAGTCATTGTGACATGTGGTTGAAACTTAGTGCATTTTTTTAGTGTAAATATTATGGTGAGGGAGCAGTGGAAAGATACTCCCTTAGTTTTTTTTGGTGTTTAGAGAGCCAAAAGGACAGATAATGGGAATCGATCCCAAGATCTCCTGAAATCAAAAGGGAAGCTCTAACCACTTGAGTTATCCCTCACTCTCAGAGATACTCCCTTAGTGATAGAGTAACACACTAACACCCAATGAGGTACAAGATGGTATGGGCTGTTCTTACTATCATCTGCAATGATTGGATCATCAAAAGTCCAACATTTAATCAATCTAACTCAGCCCAAATCAGTTGGGCTAAAAAAACAAAATACAGGTACCACATATTATCAACCCCATCAAATCAAAGAGGAAAATTCCATTAAAAAGAAAAGGAAAGAGGAAAATTCCTACTTCGTGTAACATAATTGATCAAAGCCAAACTTGACTTTTAACTTTAATTTCTTTCTGATATACCACATTTGTGATTTTGTATGCAACTTTTATAGCAAATTTAATATCAAGCGAAAATATCATATACAGCGTGAGAAATTTAAATTTCTAATCCTTGGTCCAGTCCAAAACCCCATAAATCGATCTTTGAACATACCAGTTTCTGTTTTTTTTTTTTTTTTTTGAATTATGAATACAAGCCTCTATAAGGCTATTTTATATAAGACGTTCAAACAATAATTTTTCTTATGATTGGACCGCTTTTTTCAATTTGGTTTGGATTCGATCCAAGTAAGATTAATCCAATTTTCGGATCTTAAATTTTAAATTTCCAATCTTCAATCCAGTAGTGAACAGCCCTACATGATATATTCTTGCTTGTCTGTTCCAATTAATCCGTATATCTCAAAATAAGATTCCCAAAATTTGAATTTAGATAAATACAAATCAAAGTGTACGTAATTTCTTCGAAATTTCACCCTTAAAACACATTATTAGGCAGTAGTAATATACGACCAAAAAAGCTCTCACCTCATTGGAGTCTTTCTTTGCCACTTGCCACTTGCCACACCAACACCTACGTGTGTAATCTGCATGCACTTCTCTTTCTCTCTCTTCATTCTTTAAATTCACAATAAAAATCCAACACTGTTTTTATGTTACGCTTTGAGTAGTGTTTACTCTATTAGTATTATCATCAAATAAAATGATGAATAAATCAGGAAATATGAAACAATTTTGGTGTGTTTTTCTCATACTTATTAGTATAGTGCTACAATTAAGTAATTGTAGTGTTGTTTATGGAGGATTGAATTTTCATGAAGATAGTGTTGTGAGTAGTGGGAGTACTGGTACAATTGGGAGGCTAGTGAAGAAGGAAGACAGGATACCGGTTGTTGCGACGGAGTTCGGCGAGATATCGGCGGTCGATGTCGATGACGGTTCCGGTACAGGGAGGCATAGCTACCATATTCAGTTCATTACTTTGGAGCCTAATGCGCTTTTTCTTCCTGTGCTTCTACATGCTGACATGGTCTTCTATGTCAAAACAGGTACGTGACGAACTCTTCTAATCCTATTGCTTATATGGAACTCTGCGTTTGTCTACTCGAAATTAATAGTCACGTATATTATTTATCTAATTTTGGATGTTTAAACATATTGTTGTGTAAAATTAAAGTTACCCTTATTATTACTCTTAGATGGGAAGAAGAGTAGAATATATTATGCAATAATTTGTAATTTTAGTGTGTTTAGTTTTAGTTCATAGTGTTGTTCAAGAAAGCAATTTCGATGTGCTTATGGGTAATACAGATGAAATGCGTGTTAAATGTTCGTCTTCCTAAGTCCGACATACCTGTAGTGATACATTGATCTAGGAAGACCACACATGAGTAATGGTGTGAATGTATAACATGACCAAGAATAGAGTTTTAGCAACGAGTTAATTCCAACTCATTCTTAAGCAACGAGTAATTAGCGACGAATTTCAACATCATCCTTCTTAAGCACTAGGATTAGACTCAATGGCTACACATAATAGCTTTCCAAATCTAGCTGGCTAGGGGCAATTACTAGACAGTCATTTAGGAGCTAATCCCTAACTAAGAGGATTAACTAAACTAGACAATTCATGGACATTTATATATTAACGATTCGGTCAAAGACAGATGCACAATCGAGCCATATCTAGTTTGAGCTTGACCTGACTTCTTATACGAGTTAGTTCTAACTCCTTGAGCAAACTCTAAAAAGCTCCAAAAATGCTCAAACACTAGATCTTGAGAATGAGAATTTTGTTGTAACAATCAGGTCACAAAGCTCCCATTCTAATCTAGATAAGTAGACAGGGTGATATGGAATATAAGGACTAGGTAGTAATGCTTTCGAACTTATTTGTAATAGTAGTATAACTTTGCTCTATCAAAACAGGCGGAGTAAAACTAATACTAGATTTAAGCACTTTGTATAGGTAATTAGACAAGGAAGGCTGTTTTATGTAAATCGAACGCAGCAACAAACTAAGCTCGGTAACTCCATATACTAATCTGGAGCACGCTTACCATTGTTGGTTATGCTTATAACTACCTTGAAAGCTCCCTCAATAATCAAATCTCTTACATTATATATCTACCAATATCTAGTTATAAATCTGGTGAGTTTGCACTCTTTGCAGGAAGTGGGAAGATAAGCTGGACTGATAGTGATGAACTAAATAAAGTTAGCTTGCAGCGAGGGGATGTTTACAGACTCAAGTCTGGCAGTCTCTTCTACCTTCATAGCAGTTTAGAGGCTGAAGAGACGAGGCTCAGAATCGTTGCTGTTTTTGCCAATCCGGAGGAAGAGAAACTACAGGTAAATAGGACAGGAAGAATTTTTAAGCTTACTCAATTGGCCACATTTTTCTCCCAATAGAACTAAAATGTTGTGATCAAATTTCCTCTTTTAGGGTCCATCAATTGGGCCGTACTCAAGCATCAATGACCTCGTTCGAGGCTTTGATAAGAGCATCCTTCAAGCGGCTTTCCAGGTACCCCATTCTTTCTCATCTCACAAGAACAGTAATATTTGTAAAACTTTTACGTTCCGTGTTACTTTTTCATCATCTTCCTACGGAGTATTTAACAAATTATCATACTGCAGGTACCTGAGGAAGTAGTAGAAGAATTAACAAGTGCAACAGATACACCAGCAATAGTATACGCAGAGACCAAAAAGAAGAATTTCTGGCAGCAGGAGCTTCTGTTTATCAATGTTTTCTTAGGAATCCAGAGTTACAGCAATCAAATCAGTGAAAACAAGAAGAAGCACACTAAGACATTCAATTCAAGGAAGACCCGGATTTTAAAAGCTGCAGCGGGTGGAGTACAGCAGTCAGCGATCACAACTTGCACGCATTACAAGATTCCCATATCGGTGTCTATATGGTGAACCTTACCAAGGTGAGCCACAAACATACTCATTCTATTTACAGAAGCATTGTCACAACGTTCTCGACCTATGAATAAGAACAAACTCAGCAAGATAGATATCATTCCACATTTTGCATTACTCACATATTCTGAGTATTTTTCTACTTGTGGTATCTTAACCAATAAACTTAGGGAAATGAACCAAAAACCACCCTTTAAGCGAAGGTGTTATTCTTAAAACTACCAACAAAAGAAATTCATTAAAGGCCCCAAAATTCGACTAATATTCAAACAAAATACCCACAACGATATCAATTTACTAGTAGTTGGTAAAGATTGAATAAGCAAAATTGTAATGATAGGATGGTCTTGATTACAAAACAGGGTGCTTCTTTTTGTTAAGTTTCCAAATAAAAAAAAATTACGTAGGTTTCGTAAAGTTGGTTCAAGAGTTAAATGTTAAAATTCACTTATGCTAGACCACATAAAAATTTTAGTGTTCTAACAGCATTGCTGGTTGCAAAATCCAGGGTTCAACGATGGGGCCTCACTGGAACCCGATGGCAACGGAGGTATCAGTTGTGTTGGAAGGAGAGGGAATGGTTCGCGTGGTTTGTCCAAGTGCACTGACAAACAAAGAATGCAAAAACTCGAGGTTTAGAATTGAGGAAGGTGATATATTCACTGTCCCAAGGTTTCATCCAATGGCACAAACATCGTTCAACAATGGCTCACTTGTTTTCATGGGGTTCAGCAGCACAACAAAGAAGAACCATCCTCAGTTCCTAGCAGGAAAGGCTTCAGTGCTGCAGACACTAAGCAAAACCATTATAGGTGCATCCTTTAATGTGTCAAACACAACAATTGACCAGCTGCTAGCAGCTCAAGACGAAACAATCATATTGGACTGCACTTCTTGTGCTGAAGAACAGGAGATGAAGATGGAAGATGAGATTGAAAAGGAAAGGCAAGAAGAGGAAGAAAGGAGGAGAAGAGAGGAAGAGAAAGATTGGAAAAAGGAAGAAGAGAAAGAGCAGAAAAGGCGAGAAAAAGAGGAGAAAAGAAGGAAGAGAGAGGAAGAGGAACGGAAGAGACAGGAAGAAGAGCAAAAAAGGCGAGAAGAAGAGGAAGAAAGAAGGAAAAGAGAGGAAGAGGAAGAGCAGAGAAGACAAGAAGAAGAGGAAGAAAAAAGGGAAAGGGAGGAAGAGGAACAAAAGAGGCAGGAGGAGGAAGAGCAGAGAAGGAAAGAAAAAGAGGAAGAAAAAAGGAAGAGAGAGGAGGAGGAAAAAAGAAAAAAGGAGGAAGAGGAACAAAAGAGACAAGAGGAGGAGGAGCAGAGAAGGCACGAAGAAGAGGAAGAGGAACAAAAGAGGCAGGAGGACGAAGAGCAGAGAAGGCAAGAAGAGGAGGAAGAAAAAAGGAAGAGAAAGGAGGAGGAAGAGCAGAGAAGGCAAGAAGAAGAGGAAGAAAAAAGGAAGAGAAAGGAGGAGGAGGAAAGAAAAAGGAAGGAAGAGGAACGGAAAAGGCAAGAGGAGGAAGAGCAAAGAAGGCAAGAAGAAGAGGAAGAACAACGAAAGCGTGAAAAAGAAGAAGATAAAAAAAGACGTGAACAAGAGGAAGAGCAAAGAAGGGAAGAACAAGAGGAAGAGCAGAGAAAGCGTGAAGAAGAAGAACAGAAAAGGCATGAAGAAGAGGAAGAAGAAAGGAAACGAGAAAAGGAGCAGGAAAGAGAACATGAGGAAGAGAAAAGAAGGCAAAGAGAAGAGGAAGAGCACAGAAGGCAAGAGGAAAAAGAGAGGCAGCGAGAAGAGGAAAAACAGAGAAAGAAAGAGGAAAAGGAGAGGCAAAGAGAGGAGGAAAAACAGAGAAAACAAGAGGAAGAAGAAAGGAAGAGAGAAGAGAAGGAAAGAAAACAAGAGGAAGAAGAACGGAGGAGAAGAGAGGAGGAAGGAGGAGAGGAAGAACAAGAGACTGAGCAAGAAATAGCAAAAAGAGAGGAGGAAGAAAGAAGGGAATGGGAAAGGCAAGCAGAGAAAGAAGCAAGGAAAAGGAGATCGACAGAAGAAAGTGATGGAAGCAGAGGAGAAGGAAGAATTCTGAGGCGTACAACAAAGGTTTCAGATGTTCGTTGGTAAATTCAATGCCCGTATTAGCTTAGCACCATCGTTTGAAATCCTGCCTAAATATCATAATGCCACATATAGCTCATCACCAGGGCAATAAAAAATGTTTGTAATAGTTAAGTAATGTGATTTTAAGGTAGAAATCTGGTGGATATTTCACTTTGAGAGCAGTGGAAACCGTAATTTTCTTTCTTTCCTTCTGTATTTTGATAATATCTGCAATGGCACCCTAATAGTTTATCTTATTATATGCTTGCAAAATTAAGCCACTTGCATCTTCAATATTTTGTGACGTTCTCAAAAATTCTAAGCAGTTCAGTTGCTGCACTAGACTAAATTTTTCATGGCAACGCCAAAAAAAAAAAAGGGCAACTTTCAAGCTTAACAACATTAGATTAAATCTTTCTGAAAAACTACGCAGCTTTTTTTTTTACCCTTTCTTTTTCGTCTAAACAGCTATTTGAAAATTTTTTTACGATTTAACCTCAATAATCTTTTATCTATCTTAAAGATTTTTTGGGAGTATTATTACAACATCAAATATGATAAGAACAAGAAGTTGGCAAAACCTGGATAGGGCCATTATTCCAAGAGAACTACCCTTGTAAACAAAGGCTACTCCCTGGTGGTTTTTATTCAGATTATTATTTATTTATTTATTTTTATTATTGTTTATATATATATATATATATATATATATATATATATATATAGAGAGAGAGAGAGAGAGAGAGAGAGAGAGAGAGAGAGAGAGAGAGAGAGAGAGAGTTTTCAAATTAAAACAAGATTCAAGTAAAAGAAGAAATTCTCTAATTATTTCACCTTTCCTAGCCCTCCCATTATCATCCAAGTGTAGTGCGTACACCCTAGATTCTCTACTTTGGTGAGACAAAACAAGAGGAGAGAAGGAATGAACCAGTACAAAGAAAGAAATAAATATTGAACATTTGCTGCAAAATCGATGTTAGTTTCACCATTCTATTCATTGGAATTCTAGTGACCAGGAAACTGAAAGGAACACAAAAAGAAACTAACAAGGGGCACAACTCACTGATTATCCTCGCCAATGATATAAGATACAACAACAGTGATGTCATCCAGCTTTCCTCCAATATAACGAAACCCAGCATCATGTGCAGCAGCAGCAAATGGTGTTTTTCGATGTTTATCCATAGCTCTTTGTTGCGCTAGAGTGGCTATGTTTTGTGCTGTTGCCTGGGGATCGAGACCTGATCTCTTAGCTTGGACAACCAAAGCAGTAATCTCGTTGTCATATAAGTTGTCAAATAATCCATCTGTACCAGCAACTATAACATCTCCTGAAGCAACAGGAAATGTGAAGACCTGCCACATACAGAATAAAACATCACTTAAATGTAAACATGGAAGCTACCACTCTAGAAAAACCAAGTTTGGTGAAGAGTATTATTTCAGAGTCTAATGGTTAGCATACATAGATATTCCATAACTAAAATTTAAGGAAAAATTGAAAACCATATATACAACACATGCACGAGATTAAGCATGCCCCGAAAATCCAATAATATAATTTATAGTTCCAGCTCTTTAAATCCCCAGCAAGGGGATAGAGAAGAAGAAATTTGGAAAGCTGGCAAAAAAAAAAGGCAGAGTTGCAGAGGAGTAAATTCCTCTTTAAAACTGCCCTTATTCATCAAATGTTTTACGGTAAAGGGAACCTAAATATGTTTACAGCCATCACTAGAGTAGTCATGGTATGATCCAACTAATAGAGGAAACCATGAAAGCTAACAGCAGAAAATGTACCTGGCCAGAACTGGGTAAATCACCTCCAGCTGAAGTACTTGCCAACTGATACGGAAAATTGAAACCATACTGCTGCACAGGGGACCGAAATACTGTACTTCCATCCCTGATTACTATGAATCCACTGTCTCCGAGATTAATGGCATGGATCCCCTGCCAAATAATAAAATAATAAGTCACTCAGTGGACTTTTCACGACAATAGAAGACATGATATCAAGAAATCCAGAAGGCATACAGAGCTTCAGGCAAAAGTCATGTGACCAAGCTAAAAGTTTTGAATTATTATATCCAATTAGGCATGGAAAGAAACATAAATCAGCAAACACATGTAATTCCTAATGTCCTCTTGGTATTATCTGTTATCATCTAGCATAGCACAGAGCCACAGAATGCATAAATGGTTCTATGTTTCAGATGAATCATAAGACGATGAGGGCAATTCATGATAATCCTCTAATTAAGTAGAACAGAGACCACCCCAACAATAGCAGAGAACTAAGGTGTACATTTCAATTTCCTCTATTCCACAAATATTGCACCATGGAGAATTTCATCCTTCCCGAGAATCTCGACTTATAACCTTGACAATTAATATGTATAATTCTCAATATGTGAAAATTATTAAATGTTGAAAATTTGAAAGTATAGATCTAGCCGAATATAACAAGACCCCACATGACTATATTTTTCTTTACATATAAATCACAATAGATGGTCAAAGAGAGCTCGTTAGCTTGTAAATATTCTAAAGATCAACATGGTGTAATTTTTGTGAAACGAAGTGTATATGTTTTTCTAACTTGAATCAACAATTTTAAAAAAATTGCAGAGAAAGCATAACTTAAAGAACATAAATATAATCAATCAAAGCCTTAACCCCATAAGTGGGGTCGACTACATGAACCAAAAGTGATTTTTTTCGTGTAGTCATCGACAAAAATCTTCCTCCTCCATCCCTTACGATACAATGCCTCATCCTCATGCAAATCCATAAACTTCATATCCTTCCTAACTCCTTCCAACCAAGTCAGTTTCGATCTCCCTCGTTTAACCCCTCCATTGTCCCACTTTTCCACCCTTCGTACCGGTGCACCCTCGGTCTTTGTCTTAAATCAATCAAAGCCTTAATTCCATAAGTGGGGTCAGCTACATGAACCAAAATTTGATTATTCTGTGTAGTCATCGACATAAATCTTCCTCCTCCATCCCTTACGATCCAATGCTTCATCCTCATGCAAATCCATATACTTCATATCCTTCCTAACTCCTTCCAACCAAGTCATTTTCGGTCTCCCTCTCCCTCATTTAACCCCTCCATGTTCCCACTCTTCCAATCTTCGAACCGGTGCACCCTTGGGTCTCCGTCTTACATGCCCAAACCAACGCAGGCGATTTTCCCTTAGTTTGTCTGCAATGCCTCCCACACTTACTTTATTGCAAATAACCTCATTTCTTATTCTATCTCTTAGAGTGTTCCCGCACACCCACCTTAACATGTACATTTCCATAACCTCCATCTTTTTAATGTGCTTCTTCTTCGAAGCCCAACATTCTTTACCATAGAGCAACACTGGTCTTATGGCAGTCCTGTAGAATTTTCCCTACAACTGTAAGGGGATGCTTCGGTTACATAACACTCCCGTTGGCGCTCTCCATTTAAGCCACCCCGACTTAATCCCGTGGGCCACGTCTGGATCAATGTTTTCTGGATGAGGGACCCAAGATACTTAAAACATTCACTCATGGTCAAGCAATATAGAGAATAAATTAAAAAGGAGGGGGAAGCAAAAGCACTCCTGGCAACAAAAACACAAGATGAGCAAGAGTAACATGCCTCTTAAACATAAGTGAAAAAAAATAAGGCAGTCAGACAATAAACTGCTCCGTATATTGTAAAAAGAAACAGACCACGCCTAAACAACTTCAACCATGATAATTAACAGTGTTGTCTCATTTTTATCAGGTAAGAACAGCAAAAGTACCAACCTGGTCAGTGAGAGCAATTATACAAGCTGTGGATGAGCCTATGACATTAGTGTCAGCATGAGCTTTTTCCAATATTTTAGCCGGGTCTACCCCATCCTTGGAAATTTCTTGTATAGCTGTCATAGAATTAGACATAAGTAGTCGAGCATAAATTCCAGCATCAACACCAACATCTGCCCATCCACCAACACCATCTGCAACTCCAATCACTCTTTTTTCTTCACAAATGAAATGAGCATCTTCTCCTCCAGTTTTAACCTTGTCAGGGTGTGGCAGGTAACATGATCCTGAACGAAGCTTCAAGGATCTATGACTTACGTTTTTACTACAGTCAACAACAACAACAACAAAGCTGATCACTATTATTATTTTCCTTTTCATAAATGTATTTAATATGCAATGATTCAATTGCCTCCTCCTAAACACCCATACAGCTTTTCTTTTTCAAGGTTGAGTTAACTGATATGCTCTATATATGAACATCAGCTAATCCAAGAATCAAACATCTCTCAGTGTCTCAAGTCCTACTCTCTCTCCTAATGTATTCAAATTAACTTTAAGGCCTATAACAATTATAATGAATTTATATATATTTGTCATCTTTGAAAGAATATGGATAGGGAAGGTACCATTGTTAAAATGGCTGTTTCACGAAAAAAAATAATATCAGTACATCTATCATCTATGTATGGTAAAAAAAATCCAAAAAGATACCATTGTACTTTGTATCCAAACTATTTAGCTATTTTACCAAATTAAATGATTGAAACACCATCCAATGTTTCAAACTAGTGACATTTATAGTGAAGAGCTGCTATCCACACTAGATCCCTGTCATCTCAATTCTCAAATGAGCTAGCATGTAACAAACTAACAATTAACAGCAGAATTCAAAATACCTAAGCAATAATACATAACCCTATGTCAAACAAAAGGTCCTTTATATGATGGGAAAGAGGACATACCAGGAAGAGGTATCTGTAGGATTATCAAGCGGCACATCCCTAGCAGAAATGTCAAATGGGACATCAGCAGCAGCTCCATCAGAATAACTCGCAGAAGGTGATGCACGATAACTCCTCAAGCATTGTCCAAGAAACTGCCTAGAGTCCCAACTCTTGTAAGATAAACCAGGGATAGCTAGACTAACAAAGTGAACATCTCGATTTCTTAAACCAACACTAGCTTTTCGACAACTATAAACACTTCTATCACCAAAGAAAACACCAGCTGGCTTCGCAAAGTCCACAACATTACCATACCCCTTAAACAATGTATCAACACATACATCCCCAGAAACAGCGTGGGACCCCGAAGCAGCCATCGGATTCCTTATAACACGGCAGCACAAAGACGCGATAGTTGTGTTTACCAAAAACTTATTTATCCGATGACTACTATAAGACCTCACAGAATTAC